AGGAAGAGCGAGATAGACATACCATTTTTAATTCGTTCAAATAAATAGTCAATAAAATCGTCTTTGTTCGCAAAACGTCGCTGCAATTTGCCATCACCCATCAGTGGACCCTGTTTAAACTCTCTCAGATCGATCGATTGAATATACGTAATCGCCGCTTCGAGCGTTGTAATGACAAAGCTGTCGACGTCCTTGTCCGACCCATCCGAGAACTCGTTAAAGATGAAATGCTTCAAAAACTGTATTGTTGCTATCCAATGTGTGAGCCCCACTTGATGATAACAAACGCAAGAATCGGTATCAGGTCGTCGACAGATATATCAGTGTGACGGCTTTGCGACGCAGATGTAAGAGCACGTCGTAAACAACCTACCGCAAAAGGAAAAAAACGGACAAAAAAAGTCGAGATAAAATTTAAAAACAAAATTGTTTCAAACATTGTCAAAAAGTAAAAATAAAAAGTGGCACATGGCGATTAATTGTCTTACTAATTTTCTTAATGGGTGAAAAATTGAATTAGGGCTACAGATACTGAACACGGAACGTGGGCAATTGATCGGTGCACGCAAAACGACAATTTTTATCAAAGACGAGTATTATGTAGCGATGAAATGGCCAAAAATGCAAAAGAAGTATAATTTGGTTAGCATAAATCGAAAAGAACGGTGGCATTGACTGTAATTTATTAAACTTTGCAATAAAAGCTGAGAAGAAAACGAATGAAACGAAATGAATTATCTATTTTATCTGTTTATTTTTGTGTTCTAGTTGTAATTATGAAGTTTTTTTTAAATCAGAAATAATGAGTTTGCCACTTTTGAGCTCGGTAAGAATTTTTTTGTATAGACATCAACAGATTTTTACAAGAATAGTACTTTTCTTATCGATTTTTGCGGAAACTGCATGATAAAAAATATTTGACCGAGTTCGATTCAATTTCATTCAAACGAGTAAAATGGAAGGAATTCCATATTGGGGTTCAAAATCATGCACCCATAGAAGGGTGGTTCGCTTCAATCCACACTCTTCTTGCTTACTCCACGAGCTTGTGTTCAATGTTCATACTCCTCCTTGCATTATTGTTCAGATTGTTTCAACAAACTAAATTTTCAGCGCTACATGAAATAGTAAAGTGTGCACTCGAAGAAGACACGATATCCAATCAACAAATGAGATCTCCTTTTGAAAGTTGAGTTCAAGGCATTCAGCCCAAAAACACGATTTTCAGAACCATTCATTATGATCTACCTAGCATATCACGAATGCTTTCTGCACAACGGCTGGCTAAAAGAGATTCAAACCCAATAGTGGAACGAAATCGATCGAGATATTGTCGGTGAAAATTGCTCAAACAAATGTTATATTTAGTACATTTCATGTAGTGCTAGAAAACACTTTAATTGAGTACAATTGATGCTTGTTGGATTAATTCAACGACGGAACCGACCTGGCAGCGTAACTGATTGATGACAGAGTAGACAATATTCAATGGACTTGTGATTGAATCACACGTGTTTGAATTGTTTTAGATTTCCAATTGAATTTTGCAATCAATTTTCTATGTAAAATTTATCACAAGCTAAATCATGATTTAATTGCAGTAAAATATGTTTAAATATGCTACCGATCTCCTCTCTTCTATTCAATTAATCACTTGCATCGTTTTGTTTTCCATGCACATTTGCTATTTATCGCCCAATCTCACAGCTTCGTGTTCATTGTGTCGTTCTTTGCATCGCGTAAAATACGAAACGATGTTTGCACATTTTCGCCTTTTAATTCATACAAATTTCCATCAAGGGTATTCACTGAATCGCAATGTTATGACACGATCAATTAAATTGCGAAACTCGCATTTGGCCCTCGATTTCGGATCACAAGTGATTAATACTTCGCATGCACTTAATTGCATTGTTCCGTATACGGGTTATGAGTCTTATCTGGAGAGCAGATAAGACCAAATGAATTCGCAACAGTTGAATCATTTGTACATTTGGTTATGACCACCCAATGACTGGTCATTTTCATTTAGTTTGAATTGATCGGTATTTCGCGTTCGTATCACAACAAAATTTGATAACGTAAGTCAGTTTAATTTATTTTGTCATAGTGGACAAAAATTTCATTTCAATTTTACTGATAAAGCAACAGGGGCATATTATGGAAGTTTGTCATTTCAAAAGATTGGTCGAAAAATCATGATTTCAGTGTATTCCTGTGCCAAATATAAAAAAAACGTGTAAATAAATAGGAAGATGATTGGCTCTTCTCTAATCAAACACTGTAGCGTGTTTATATGTTTAAATATAAATGATAGAGTTGCTCCAGTTGTTTGTTTCATTAAAATTATTGATAAGGGATCGCATTTGGTTTTATGAATGTTAACAGATAGGCATTTTGTGATGCCCTTTGTTATGTAATGTTGAATGAAGATTTGACCAAATTGAAAACTTTGCATAAATACAAGTTATTTGCTTTGCATTTTGATCAGATTCATTTACACCTCAAATCCGTTCATTGCCGCCGATAAGTAATTTCAGTGAATTTATTAAGCCCAAAAAATGTATTTCAAGTTTTTTTTCGGTTGTTTCATTGCAGCTTGTGCATTTGAAGTCGCTGTGAGTGTAAGATAGTTGATTTTCAAGTGTTTGCAATTAATACTAATTGGAACTTTGATGGGGCTGCTTAAAAGATAACTCTGCACTGTTTCGTTATCTTTGTGACAACTCGCGGAAAATATTCATTAATAAAATCCATCTCCATTTATTGAACTTATGTTTGTGTTCTCATTTATGACTTTTTTTTATTGTTCGGTGTATTAGATGTCATTTAACGTTGAAGTCGTACCTTCGCCAAAAACCCTTGTTGGTACGCGGACACACTGGGATGCGGATCAGCAGAGTTTATATTACTGCGATGTTTATGGCAATGATTCGGCTATTTTGCGTTACGACTTCGATGAAAATAAAGTGTATGCAGCGGGAATTGATGGAGAATTGGTGACACCATTTGTGATTCCGGTGGCAAATTCCTCGAATGAGTTCGCAGTAGGTCTGGACCGACGAGTGGGCATCGTACAATGGGACGGCAAGTCACCAAAGGCTACTCTTGACTCAATCGCATTTGAAGTTGACAGTGACAAGAGCAACAATCGCTTCAACGCTGCTAAAGCTGATCCAGCAGGTTGGTGCATTTTTAGTTTTTTCATGTTCTGAATCTTTCGTTTATTTATAATGTGTTTTCTGTTATTCTGACGAGCAGGTCGCTTTTACGGTGGAACGATGCTTTCTGAAAAGACGGGCGATGTGTTGCAAAATGCAGCCGGTAAAGTATACAAATATATCAAAGGCGATAATAGTCCTCAAGTGGTTCTTGACAACATTTACATATCGAATGGCATGGCATGGGACCAGAACAACAACAAAGTTTACTACATCGACTCGGGCAAATTTGATGTCAAAGAATACGACTATGATCCAAGTACTGGAAACTTCTGTAAGTGATTTGAAGATTATTTTTCCAAATAAATTGCTTCATAAGATCTGAATCAATATCAAAAGAAAATATATTCATTATCGATATATGCAAAGACTGACCTTAATTGATACTCACAAAATTGTTCCAATGAACTTTAATTTGTGTTTGCATTTAGCCAACGAGAAATTGGTCATTGATTATAGCAATAATGGCGCACATCCCGGTTTTCTTCCTGACGGCTTGACCATTGATACAGATGGCAATTTGTACATAACGTTCTACGGAGGATCGAAAATATCCAAAGTTGATCCAAAGTGAGTCATCGATCTTTTAATTACTTTAAATGAGCAACATTTGATATTCTCATTTGATTGTACAGTGCACCCCCGCAAATTAGGAATAAAATGTCCCGAGACCATTTCTAATTTGCGGGGTTTTCTAATTTCAGAAGTTATTTCAATTTCATCCAAAAACGATGTATATACCAAATGAAAAACTGATAGGGGAAATGATTTGCTTAATTGAAACCAATATATTGAACACTGTTCAATCAAGTATTGTATGCAGTTATTTTTGTGATTATAAATATATAGTAAGTCTGTTAGTTTATTTTACTGGATAAACTACTCCTCGGAACAAAGAACAAACCGAAATAAATGATGACCGGCTGTTCTTATTATATCATACGATAGTAAACAGAAAACGTTAGCATTCTATATACAATTTTGTATATGCAAATTCGATGGAACAAATCGGTTTCGATTTGTTAGTGATTGTTGATTGACGCAGACAATATGGAACAGATTACTTCGTGACTTAATTTTTAACTTTATGGTAAACGTCGAAAATCTCAGCTGATCTGCTAATATAGTTAGTATAGTTTATATTCAACGAAATGGAAAAGACTTTCGTTATGTTTTTTCATTAAAAATGAAGTAAATTTCCTCTTGTCTTGAATGAAATGATTCGGAAACCCCGTAAATTAGAAATTAATTCCGGAAATTAGAAATTTTCCATACAAATTTTCAAACTTGAAATTCATTTCTAATTTCTGAGGTTTTCTAATTTCCGGGTTTCTAGTTTGCGGAGGTGCACTTTACTATATAGATTGTACTAGTATTCTATTCAATTTCACTAATTTTTTCATAAATATTATTTCTTCTTCGTTAGAAGCGGTAAAGTTCTCATGGATATTCCATTCCCGGTAAAGCAAGTGACTGCAGTATCGTTTGGAGGACCGAATTTGGACATTCTATATGCAATAACGGCCGCAGACGGGGACTCATCTGAATTTGCCGGATGTTTATTCAAAGTCACTGGATTGGGTGCCAAAGGCTTCGCAGGCGATAAAGTGAAATTGTAATTTGACCCAGTCTATGAATTGAATTATGTGTGAAATGATAGGATCAAATAAACAATTTCGGTCATTTACTTATGTGGAATATTGAATTGTATTAAGAAAGTTCTTTCCACGACCACACATAAAGTGGTTCACATTGAAATATAATTTTAATTGAATGGAATAAAGCACATCATTCACTCAGCAGATAAAGAATAATACAATTAAAAAATTTAAACTTTTATTTGCTTAACTTAAACACGTAATCATGTAGTAATATTGAAATTATCTTTATCATATTATAATTATGAGTCAGATGTTTTCAGTGTTTTATTTGCTTAAATAATTTTGGCTATAAATATCGTAATCATTCATGAGACAGACACAGTTGATCTTTTGTTGCGTTGGTGAAGAAAGTGATCTGAATTATAAGAAAGAATTTGTTCAATCTTTTAGTTGTGAAAGTGCCAAACTTCTAGTCTGTTGCAGATCAATAACTAATACGAACATCGTTGAATTCAACATGCACAGTCAAGCGACTAAAAATATCAAAGGATGTCAGCTTTTAGTCAATTTGTGCATAAAACTCGCACATAATTGGCAATTTATATTCATGATTGGTATTTTGGTGCATACGATTGAGATTTGCAATGGTCATGGTCGCCTCATCGAACCCCCTAGTCGGTCATCAGCTTGGAGATTTGGATTTCCAACGCCAATAAACTATAATGATGTAGAAAAGAAACTTCGTTCATCTATTGTTCAACGCAAATTGAGTAGTTTGGAGCGAGAATGTTATACAGAAAAGTTGAGAGGATAAATGTCAAATGAAAAGAGATAGCTATTTAGTTCACTACAGTTTACTATATAGCTTTTCCGCTCATTCTTCATCGACATTTTTCCGCTCAAGTTTTCTGTATAACATTTTCGCTCCAAACTACTCAATTGTGTGCCAGTTCTAACTGAAAAATTGTATGTTTTTTTCTTTCTCTCAGAACGAGTTATTCTGCGGTGGTTTCACACGACAACATGCACAAAACGGAGGAAAGTGTGGAGAGTGTGGTGATGCTTGGGGTAGTAGACATTTGAGTTGAATTTTTTTTAAATATTTCAAACTGTTCCCAACTTTTATTTGCTACGAC